ACAAACGTCACATTAATTGAACATAAATTATATATAGGTCACAATTTATCAAATAATTGGTCACAAATTAATAATTTGTAGGTCACCCGACATGTATTGGTCACAGTTATTTAATTCATTAGTCATAAACCAACCAAATTATTGGTCACAAACAACAAATCATCTGTGACCACCACCAAATCATTTGTGACCACCACTTCGCCACTGTCCCCAACTGGAGCACCACCACAGTCATCGCCCCATAGCAGCATCAATGTCTTAAAGCCAACGTCACACCCTCCGAGCACCACTATCACCACCAGAAAACCACCACCACCACATGCACTGCCAAAACAACCCAGAACACTGCCAACACAACCACAACACACAACCATCGCACCGCCACCTTACGCACTGACACCCAACCACACTATTACCACCGCCCCAATATACCGTTACGCACCGTAACCGTAATCCACACCTCCACGACCACTGCGCCCTCACATACGTCCAATCGCAACCGCCACAGCACCCACGGACACACACCCAACAACATAAACTAACCAGCCACATAAAACTGAACCCAAACCACCGACGTTCGTCACCTGCCATGACACATACAGACAGATCAGCCCACCACAGCCCCCACACACTCACAAATCCACCGCACGCACGCAACCGCATATCACCGCCCTGCACACACAGTACCTCCACCCACACCTGCCGGCACTCAAATCGACGGTTCACCATCTGCAGATACTCAAATCAACGCTGAGACGACTTCACAGCAGTCGCGGCTCGTGGCCAGGAGAGGTGCATCGAAGCTCGTTGCGGCCACCATCAGATCTCGACAGGCCAGGTCTCCGGTAGTGGGCGAGGAGAGGTGGAGGTGGCGAATGGTGGAGGCGGCGGGCATTTGTGGAGAGATTTGTGGATAGATTGGAGAGACCGTGAGAGAGTGGGTAAATAGGTGAGAGATGGTGAGAGAGTGGATTTTAGTTTAGGGTTTGATTAGATATAATTATATAAAAAATAAAAAAATGTTTTTGAATTATTAATTAAAACCTGATTTTTGTATTATTAAAGTTGATTCTGTATTTTTGAAAATGGTAAGTTAAAAAGCTGTGTGGGTGTAATTTCCTCTTATTTTTATTTTTTTTGGGTAAAAATTCATATATAACTAAGTAACTAAAAATAATTCAATAAATACTACACGTTAATCTATTTACTATAAATACTAGACATTAAGTAAAAGTAAATCAAAATTACTCACTCCAGTAATTACTCCTATTTTTGGTAACTAAAACTCGATAATAGCAAATATTACGCTTACCATAGATTACAATTCCACAACATTCACTCATTTGAAAACCTATGGAAACTTCAAAGCTTCAATTTT